GATCCCGAGATGAGAATCGAGGAGAAGGGATTGTGGCGTGGCCATCCCCCTGGGGGGTTATTTCTCACTTTCTGTCTCTCTGTCTCTATAGCAAAAATCTCTCTCTCTAAAAAAAAAAAAAGGTAAAGGAAAGACCAATGTAGGTTAGGGACTACCTGTGCTGCAGGCCTATGGGCTTTTTTGTTAGTGTGTTTGTTTTGTGGTATGCGTGTGTGCACATGTGTGGTGTGTTTTTTAGATAGAGTCTCACTGTATATGATCCTCCTGCCCCAACCTCCCAAGTCCCAGTTGCCAGCTCTTTAGGGTAGGCCTCCCATGTGGCCTCAGCCTGTCAAGCAGCAGCATTTAGCACATGGACCACAACCAGGTGCTACAGACGTTCCATGGTCTCTTGCTGGGGCACCCAAGGCCGCTGTTCTAGACATCTCCAGGCCCTGACCTTGGAAGCTTCGGTTCCACATCCTCTGAGTGATGTCCTCCCCATCAGTGACAGTTCCCCCATGTGCCAGAGTCTCTGCCACTGCCTGGATATAGAGCAGGAGCCCATCATGGAAGGATGCTGGGATGGTGTTCACCTGGAGAGGCAAGCAGAGCTCGGCTGAGGTGCAACATGTGTGTATGAGGGGGAGACACAGAGTGGGGCACTGTGGGGTCGGGTATTGGAGGCGTTGGGGGGCTTGAAAGAGGATGGGAGGGGGATCAGCAGATGGCGTTATGGTCCTGTAGCTAGACACTCATGTAGTCAACTGTGATTTGAGTATCAGACCCAGTGGCTTAAAACCCATGCTGGGCGCGTGTGTGTACGTGCCCAAAATCCCAAGAAGAGAATGAAGAAGGGATTGGTTACGGCCATCCCTCCAGGGGGCTGATTTCTTTTTTTTTTGAGAGAGAGATTTTTGCTATAGGCGCGTACACTCACCAGAAAGATAGAGAGAGACAGAGAGACAGAAAGCGAGAAATCATCCCCCAGGGTGATGGTCACACCGCAATCCCTTCTCCTCTATTCTACTCTGGGGATCTTGGGCACGCACGCACACTTGCCCGGCGTGAGTTTAAGTCACCGGGTCCAGGACTCGAACTGTGGTCAACTACATGGGAGTCCAGCGACATAGCCATTACTCTAACTGCAGGTCCCCAGGGGGGTGATTTCTCATTTTCTGTCTCTCTGGCAAGTGCACATGCCCTATAGCAAAAATCCTCTCTCAAAAAAAAAAAAAAAAAAAAAGGAAGGAAGGAAGGAAGGAAGGAAAGATGGGAGCAAACAACATCCCACATCAGAGAGTTTCCTATTTAAGAGATGCCTTCATGAGCCAGCTGGTGGCATGGTGGTTAACGCGGCTGGATCCCACATGACCAATTACACAGGGTTCAAGGCTAGGACCCAGTGGTTTGAAAAATACACCCAGCACATGTGTATGCATGCTCAAAATCCCAAGAGGAGAGAGGAGAAAAGATTGAGGCATGGCTCTCCCCCGAGGGGTGGTTTCTTACTCTCTCTCTCTCTTTCATGGATGCCCCCTATACAGCAAACTAAAAACAAAACAAAACAAAAACCTGCTTTTACATATACCACTGCTTTCTGAATCCTGCCAGGGAGATAAGGCAGGATGTAGCCTCCCCATTTTACCAGTGAGGACCTGAGCTTCTAAGGTTGAACTTGCCAACACCCCCTCCACCATCAGCAGAGATGGGGAACTGGGGAAGGTAGACAGGGGAGACCTGGGCCTACTGGGGTGGTGAGAGAACAGGATGGATACTGGCTAGGGTTCTAGAGTGGGGGCTGGAAGTCCTTGGTAGGACCCCTCCTACCAGGCCATCCTCCATGGTGAAGTTGAACTGCTCATGGGCCAGGTACTTCAGCTGCTTCAGGAACTCCAAATACTCAGGATTATCCGGTTCTTTATATGTGATGATTTTGGCAGCCTGAGGAAGGGGTCAGCGGAGAGGGGAGAATTAGGGGCTCACTCTAGTTCTCTCAGTACCATGGGGTCCCGTTTTCTGGGAGACCCCACACCCCTGCCCCTGAGCTGCATCTCTGCTTAGCTCAAGGTCAAACTGGACTCCATCCTGCATGAGGTGGTGTGTGCTCCAAAATGGGGGATCCAGAGGGAGGGTTTCTCCAAGTCCTGCCCAGCCTGTGGGACTGTAAGTCCTCCCACCTCCAGCCCAGTTTCTTATCTTTGTAGCCCTCTGAGTCTGGACTCCTGGCCTTCTGTACGCCCCTGCCCACCGCGGCTCTTCATTACCTAACTCCTGGGGAGCCCAGCAGCCTCTTCTCGGGAATCCATTCAGACACGGAGGGACACAGTGCTCAGAAACCAGGTGCTGCCACTGAGTCCCACAGCCTGTGCTTCAAACCTGGGCACTCACCTGGAAGGCCTGGCGGGCACTAGCGTCCTGCCCATCCCCTTTCTCCCAGGGTCTGTGTGCAGCAGGACCCTGCCCACTTGGCAGGCTTTGCCCAAAGATATCCAGATGGAAGAAAACGTAGTCCTCCCCACTCAGGCCGGCTTCCAGGGCCAGGAGCATGAGGGTTCTGAAGGCCTCGGGGGAGCTGCAGATGTAGACAACTGGAGGGGTGGGGAAGCAGAGAGAGAAACCCAGGTCCTGGGGGAGCCGAAGCGGGTGTGGGTGTGTATGGGACGGTGTGGGGGGAGGTAAGCTGGGGCACCCAGAGGTAGGGACGTGAGAGACCAGGTGGTAGTTTAGTGGCAGCTCTTGGTTCAGTCCAGGCTGTGGCAGCAGAAAGAAAAAGAAGGGTGGGGAAGGGAGAAGGGAGCAGGCAGGAGAGGGGAAGGTGGGACCAGGAAGGGTGCGGGAGGAAGAGACAGTGCGTGTGTGGGGGGCGATCTGAGGGAAGGTGGAGGAAGGGAGAAGGCTGAAGGCAGGAGAGAAAAGGGGGGAGAAAAATAAGGACATGGGCTAAGCCGGGGACATTTTAAGTGTGAAGCTGGTGTGGGATTTCCCCCCTCCAGTTAACTCCGCAGAAACCCCTGGGAGTCCAGAAGGAGAGGGGTAGGAACATGACAGGGCGTGGGGAGGAGAGAGAGAAACAGAAACGCAGAGGTAGAAAAAGGTCGGGGAGGCTGAGGAGGGAATGATGAGAAGACTGGCCCAGACGCAGGGAGTGAGCCCGGTTCCTTCCACGGTCACAGACCGACCCTGGGGCAAAGCGGTGGGCATGGCCGCCTCACCTCGGCCTTTGAGCCGCACTGTCTGCAGCAGCTTGGTGTAGTGGTCGTGGTCGCCCTCGGCAAACTCCAGGTGGTCCACGGTGATGTTGAGGCGGTGGCGCACCCGCATGTACAGCCCTTCCACTAGGAAATAGCAGTGCCGGTCGTCGTCGGGCTGGTAGGCGTAGAGCACCAGGGCCTGGCGCTCCCAGCCGAGCCGTCGGTGCAGCGCGGCCACGAAGTCGCCCAGCTTGGCGTGAGTGGGCCCGGCGCGAGTGGTCAGCGCATACTCGTCCTCTACCCTGAAGCCCAGGGCAGGGGCGCCGGCGGTCAGCAGCGGGACCCGCCAGTGAGCGGTGAAGCGCCCGCCCGGGGGGGCGGGG